TTGGTCGATTTTATTTTACTTTTATAACACTTCTCCAACCGTTCTATCAATAATTTTCTATACCATGTGTACTGCCTTCGTCAAATTCCAATGATACCACTAGTCACTACTATTACTAATAGTTGCACTACTATTGAAAGAACTACTACCAATTACAATGATAAATTAGTCGCAGTACTAAACGATATTTTCAAAATTCAAATGTTTTGTCGGTCTTGATTTAAACGTTGGTGTTGTATTTCTTAAACATTTTGGTAATAAGATCGGTTGACCACGATTATTATAACTTTTATGAGTAAGGCATCAAATAAACCTCTGGCTGATCTACATCATAAATATTGTCTCCATTAAATGACAATTGTTGTCTAACGTTTTGTTAACTTGTTAATGAGAAGGAATAATGACATTCTTGGACATTACATGGTTTACGTAAGTACATGGTTTATTTCAGTTTTTATGCTATCCTGTTTTGGAAGATTATGGTCCAGAATATATACATGATACAGTGTAATACAGCTGCATGATTGAAAGTATTTCTAATATTGGATAGGGCCTGCGTTTGTTTTTTTGAAAAGTTCTTGATTAAATACTGCAGAGTGTGTGAATAGTAGTACTTCACAGTCGGTCACATTTGTTTAGGAATTAACTTTTCCTCCCACTGATCCACTAACAATAAGATTTGCATGTTGTGTTAAGTTTTAAATATAGTTGCCCCTGTTCACGAAATAAAATGTAACTTCCAACTAGTCGGAATTTGGCCCCTGTCTTCTCCTATTACTTCACGATCGGTTAATTACATACGTTCACATTTCACATTATAAACGAGTTTAAGTTTCCTTATCTATAAATCTTACTGAATTGATAAAGTTATAACATTCCATAAATTTCGTCCTAAAACTAATACATTACGTGTAGGGCAAATGTTTTGCGAAATCGAGTTTGACATAGTTTCCGTGTAAAAAGTAGATTAAGTACTAGGACTTGTGTGTTGTTTATTGTTTCGTTTTTGACTTTGATGCTAGTTCGTGTAAAAGTTTCATTCTAAGTGGAAACGACCAACCAATTACCTGCTTTAAAGTACAGGGTGGGCCAAAAGTCAGTGGGCATACGTTGGCCTTAATAGCTCCGCAGTGTTTTATATTTGAGAGCTGTTGCTTTGCAGATGGCATACTGTATTTACTGGTTCGAGGATTTCGTCGTCAAAATTTGAAAATTCGAATATTTTAGACCACGCCCATTCAATATTAAAACACCTATATTGTTTTCTCTGAACATGCTGAATGCCTATTTTTTTCAGAGACGGTAGATTATTAAGTGTTGCATATGATCTGAAAACATGAGGCAAAACGGATTAGAAGTGACGAAGTTATCAAGCATTTTCTGTATCTCGTTAACAACATTGACTGGGTGATTATGTGACACCGTGACACGACACCTTAACTGGGCACCCTTAACAATTCCCATAATGTTTAACGAGGTGGTTAACGGGGTCACCTAATCACGTGATTAGCTAAACCAATCACTTGATCACACGTATAAATGAATAAACTCGTTATGCTTCATATCTCTGTCATCTGAGAAGTTACAGTTCTAATTTTTTCAGGACAAACGTAATTCGAATGGCCAAACACAATTCAATAAAATTTAGCTCGATTCGACTATCAAAACTATCAAATAAATGCAAAAATGAACCTTCATTCGAAAAAAATGAACTCTAATATTTATCGATTTGACAAATTCCTCGAACCAGTGGTGGAAGTAAGTCATACCAGAAACAATTATTTCAATTGGGCACTCAGTGACTGAGCTATTAAGGCCAACGTAGGCCCACTGACTTTTGGCCCACCCTGTATATTTATATAGGCGTGTTTATTAATGGCTGTGTTTTCAAGATCCAAAGATGCCTGAAGATAAAGAAGGTAATTTAATGACAATAGCTACCCATTAATATTATATAAGTAACAAAAGCTATTATTAACCTGTCCCCCTTTAATTCGATCCCACAAACACATACCGCTCTTTGTGTCTAACTCTTAACATAATTGTGTATAATAATAAAATGAGAAAGTCTCACGTTTGCGCATCATGTCAAAGATCACTGTCAAATTTTTGTCTGTATGTTAACTGTACGTCAGCCGTACGTAAACCACTCGTCCACTCAACCGTGTACTAACCGTGTACTAACCGTGTACTAACCGTGTACTAACCGTGTATTAACCGTGTGGCGTGTGTTTGTGTATTAATCGTACATGAACTGATTTTTATATATATTTAACTGTGTGTCAATCGTGCGTAAAGTGTCCATCGAAAAATTTGCAAGCCGTTTTTTATGAGTTGCTCGGGGACCTCAGGCTTACTTGTCTTACAAAATTGAAGATTTGGTGGAGCCGGAGGGAGAGGATGGCGCTGTCCAGCAGGGACGTAGCCAGGATTTTTCTTTGAGGGGGGGCTGTCGGCGAGCGAAGCGAGCCGACGCGTCCAATCAAGCTGCGCAGCGAGCGAAGCGAGCAAGCTGTGGCAGGGGTCTGGGGGCGCAGCCCCCAGCGGGGTCCAGGGGCGGAGCCCCTTGGCGGGGGCTAGGGGGGGCGCAGCCCCCCGGAAATTTTTTGCGAAACAGGGTGTTTTAGACGACATTTGGCATTAAAGAAATTTGTAGGACAGCAATAAACTGGGATTGAAAAGAATCAAGTACTCACGTAAATTTGGTAACTTCACAACAGCAATCTGCATTCTCCAATCAGAATTTACGACTTACTCAGGCCTCATCGTCTTAAGATTTTTACATTTCCTACGGTCTAGGGGACACTATTGACTATAATTATAGAAGTCTTCTAGAATGTTTGCTTGGATTTAATGACATATATTTACTAAACCACAGTTCAAATCTTTGACTGACTGCAGTCATAAACACAGCCCAGTTACCAGGCGACCATGGGGACTAGGGGGCTTATCTTTTTTCTGGGGTTCGATTTTTTCCGGGGGGGGGGGGGGGCTCCCGCCCCCCTAGCCCCCCCCCTGGCTACGTGCCTGCTGTCCAGTAATTTATGAGTCACCGATTTCCATTGATCGTCCATACATATATCTCCAATCTGTATTTAATGAGCGATGAATTTATTTTCATTGTTTTATACACATTTTAAGTAATGAGCATCAATGCAAATAAAATCAGTAAAACTACAGTTAAACTGGGGGTGGACAGTTTATGTCTTTCCGTTTAAGGGGAGATACACCAAAAACGTTTTTGCCCCGAACATCAATTTTATTTTATATTATGGTTAAATAGACAAAAAAAATAAGATTGCACACCTTCAAAATTTTTTAAAAATATTCCCTCATCGAGAAAAAAAATATTTTTCTTTTTCGAAAATTTTTAAAATTTGGAGAAGTCTACCACTGTAATACCGATAGTTCGGCCAGTTTAAAAGTTTTTTGGCTGATTTTTTTACTGAACATTCCTTACACTCCGTACAAGACAACCCTTTAGAGGATTATATAATAGAACAATAAATGACCAAGTTACAGACCGAACAAGGTAAAAAAAGAAAAATTGGGATTTTTGCCTACCACCAAAGTTGTACATTTTACCACTCGCCCAGGTCATCAGATATCGCTTCTAAAATTCTTGTGAGTGTAGCTGATGATCATATCAAACTTTTTGGAACAGGATTTCTCTCAGTTTTGAGTTTTAAGGTATGAAATGTGCCCTAAACATGACAGACTTCTCCAAATTTTAAAAATTTTCGAAAAAGAAAAATATCTTTTTTCTCGATGAGGGAATATTTTTAAAAATTTTTGAAGGTGTGCAATCTTATTCTTTTTGTCTATTTAACCATAATATGAAATAAAATCGATGTTCGGAGCAAAAACGTTTTTGGTGTATCTCCCCTTAAGGTCTGATCCAAAATTATTCTACTGCGAACTCATGTCTAGGATATGGTAACTTTTTAATGTCTGTCAAATTTAATTTCTATCATCGGAATAAAGTCAATAAACTATAAGTGTATCATTGAATCAATGAAAAAAGTTATTATAAAATTTAAATATTCTTAGTATCACATTATGGCATTGTCATTTTCTTGATCTTCGGCTTCCTCGTTCACTTCTTCAGAGTTAGTATCTACCTACACATATGTAAAAGCTTACATGAAATGCAGGAACGAGGTGGTCTAATAAAAACAAAATGGTTTTCAAAAAGCGGGCATTTCTGATGGCGATGCTTTATAGTTTAAGCACGGAATATTTGATGCACGAAAACCTATTGGACAGAGATGACCTGTGATATGCTCATCAAATCTGGTCATATTTTGTATCTGTTCTTTTTACACAACTTTCTTAATCATAGACACTGATATATGACAGATATTTTGACACATAACTGCTCAACGACTGCTTTTCTTGCTAACTGTACGACAAATTTATTTACAAATTATCTGCTCAAATTTTAAAAACGCCAAAAAAAGATGAACAAATTTGGATTTTTAATGGTTTTGAATGCCTTCGAGTGTTCATTTTAATGTCCGTTCATAATTATGTCCGTTCATTTAATGTCCGGTAAAATAAGGTCCGATAAGGTAGTCAGTTTGAGTTAGGGACTCTGGAAATGTAAAACAAGAACTAATAGTAATTGTAAACTGACCCACTAAAAAGTCTTAAACCATTTTTAAAATGTAGTGTTGAACGTATCGAAAATTATTTTTAGGAGTTGCTCGAGAATTTTACTAGTAGTAAATTAAACACCGTTTATATCGTTTATGCTTAGTCTGGAGAAGAATATATTAAAGTTTAGTTGCCGAATTATTAATCGGAAAATATAGTCGTAAACATTGCTATATTTGCATTATTTCCAGTAGTGGGCGGACACTATCAGCAAAAGAGTCGGTCATCCTTGTCATAAAATGTATTCATCTATTACGTATCATGCAGACAATACCTGTGCATGAATTGTATCTTCCATTCACACGGTGCACAGCTATATAAGTTATTGATCATCGGTTAGTTTTATCATTGTTCATTAGTATGCTGTGCGTCTATCTTTGTTGTCTCTGAAGAAAAACGAATATTTTTTTCGTTTTACAAAATTCTTATCTCCTTCCAGCCTTACTATTTTTGAAACTACTCTTATATTGACTTGAAAAATTCGACAGAGGTTTGCAATTGCATGTCAGAGTTGGTTTTAGTGCGAGGTGATCATGTCGATATTGGACTGCTTCTCTCACAAAGGCTCCAGGACTATGAGTATGGACAATGGGCCGGACAAGTTCGAACGAGTTCAGAAGAGCCAAATCCAGTTAGTGGACAAGTTTAAGAACAGTGAAAAGATTGAGAAGATTGACAGAAGTCTAGTTTACAAGATGAACTCTGAAAATGAAATAAAGGTAAATATCGCCAAACTTTCAATATTCTTTGTATTGATCTTATAATGTATAATGACGTTATAGGTGCAGTATTTAAACAATCTGCTATTGCTTTATTTTCTATGTCAATGTCATTAAGTTGGTTGATCAGTGTATTGGATTTCTAGACTATTCTACATTTGATTTTAGCATAAAACATAAGTTACTGGTATTTGGTTATCCGTATCTATTAAAGTCCGAGTAGCCGTCGTGTTGTGGTTTATCAGAGCGACTCTTTACCTACAAGGCAACTGTTTTTACTAATTGTAGAGAGAAATCTCAAGCCGCCAAAGAGTTTCTGATTTCTTAGTCTAACTGTCTAAGAGAGAGATTGACTTCCGACAAAGAAAGAGTACAAGAATCAGTGCGGACAGTGATATCGAAAAGGGAAGAAACAGTGATACTGACGACTCAGTCAGAGAGATTGACGTTGATGCAGCGACTTGGAGTTGGAACCAACTGACCAACTCCTACGCAGTACTTCAGACGGGCCCGGATCTCCGAACAACGCGGTAAGGAACGAGATTACCAGATATTTGAAGGACAAGCCCCAGAGACGTAATCCCCTGGAGTTCTGGCGGAAAATCACAAAATTCGGCATTTTAACCGGAACCGGGATTACTGGCCCCGGACAATTTTTACCGGGACCGGGATTAAGCTGGGATCCCGGTCGAACCTTGTATATGGGTTCTGTTGGAAGCTTCTTTTAGAAGCTTCTTTTAGAAGCTTCCTTCCGGAAGGAAGTTTTTTATCTGTGATTGATCAAATTAGAAGAAGAACAAAACATGTCTAGTCAGGTCAATCGTCATACTCATAAAACAATTAAAAACTTGACAGAAGTTTCTCAGACAGGAGTTTCTCAGGTTTATAATGATTAATGAGTTGGTGTGTGAATAAAGCTACGAGTACAATTTGTCTACTGTTTCGAGTCATTGTTACCTTGATTAGTACCACATGAGTACCGGCGAGCACCACCGTCACTGTCAGCCATTATATCCCCTTTACTATTTATTTTATTCACTTTGATCATAGCGCAACTCTAGATTTCAAGTTGGTTTTAGTGCGAGGTGATCATGTCGATATTGGACTGCCTCTCTCACAAAGGCTCCAGGACTAATAACTGTGAGTATGGACAATGGGCCGGAAAAATTCGAACAAGTACACAAGAGTAAACTCCAGTTAGTGAAGTTTAAGGTAAAAAATGCAAAGATACCCACTTTTCATGGCAGTTAAACATTGTTATCTTGACGAGGAGATAATTCAAAGTACAGTTAAACCCCGATTTACTGCGGGTGCTAACAACCCGCGGTAAATCGGGGTTTTGGTTGTTGGGGTTCAAAATTGGCCAAAAAGGTTGGGATTGCACTCAGTAACTTAATAGTATCAACATGTTAGAAATTCAATCAAATTCTTGCTTTCTTTGCAGTTTGTAGTACATCGCAAATCGTATCGAAATCTGTAATTACTAGCTATCAGTATCAAAATCTGTATGTTAAGATCGGAACAGATCACATATTTCCCCTGTAGCACGAACTGACCCTTCTCAAACACAGTGGTGCCCTGTCATAGGAGTACTGTCAAGCATCACAGCAGCAAAGGCATTATACGAGAACATGGTCACGTGATTCAATGAGCAGTGTGGCGCACGAGCTTGCGTATTGCTCATCTATATAAGCACTGCAGCAAGGGATCTCGTATCAAGTCAATCTATCCCAAGTCAATATATCCATATTTAGTCTGTACATCAGCCGTACATCATGAAGCGATCTAATTCCACTATATCTACCGGAGAATCTCCTTCCTCTAATCGAAAACCTCTAACCATCGGACAGAAGAGAGAAGTGATAAAAATGTTGAAGAGCGGTAAATCCTCCTCTTCAGTTGCCCTACACTTTGGAATCGGTGAGACAACTGTTCGAAACATCGGGGTTTTACTGTATAGGTTTAACTTTAACGTTATGTTCGTTATTCATTTTACTTATCTTCACTTAGTTCACTATTAGTATTACATCGTGGACGTCCTCCTTAGTTCTTGGCTGAGCTGAGATCCGTCAAGATTTGATTTCGTCCATCAAATGTTCGTATTTTCTCGTCCCATTACTTTTTGCGTGACGTGATATAAAACCCTTTACATCGAAAGGGTCTTAGGTCAGATGGTGAATACCGAGATATGAGTGAGTGAGTGTGTGTCAGGAGCATGATTGCGTACAACATGTGCATAAGTTCAGACTGCAGCTTTTAAACTTCAAGCAGTATATGATATTATAAATTATAATAATTATATCAAGCACGAATGTACAATATTACATGAATGGCAGATCACTTTTTTAATTGGTCCAATTTATCGCAACAATTCAAGCGGTATACCATGAAAAAACTATCCATAAAACTTTAATTAGATCATAAGCACAGAGGAAAGCTGAAGAGGCGTATCAAATAAAATACAAATAAAGTTATCACTTATTATACACCACATTGCTGCATATCATTCAATAAAAAACAGCGAGAACTCAGATCAAAAGAAGGCTTTTGAGACTGAGAGTGATTGTATCATTTGGGAAATAAACAGATCATCTTATTCATAAAATTATGTGTTCTCTGGCATGGACATTGTCCATTGGACAATGGGAACTGTAATTTATAAATTGCATTACATTAGTTCAGCGTATCTCCCTTTACATAGTTTACAACATCATTTGTGTATCTGGTCATTTTGTCTCCAATACTTATTGCCTATATTTGATTCACCCGTTTCATTGTCCGACGGCTTTTTTTTCTTCATCTATTTAAGTCAAACTTGTGACTCGACGTATTATTAGTACTTCTTGAAATCGTTTAAATACTAACTCTCTTGGTGTAAAACAGACGTTGATCCTTTGCTTATTCCTCCAGCAATGATACTCAATCAGTACCATACAATTTATGCACATATCTTGCTATGTTTTTGTCATGAGTTTGAGTTTTAGATTTGTCATATGCTATGAAAGAAACCCAATCCTAAACAATTTGATTATAAAATATTCTCCCACTGCGACTACCTGAACATTTTCCAACCTATCTGGGAAATAAGGTATTGTGTGACTCAATAATTGAGTTTCGAGTCTCCTATCATTACCTGTTGCAGGGCTGTTTATTACTTCCCCTTCTCTCAACTCTGAGTTTTGTTTTCGATAGCTTCGTTTCTTGAAATATGGGGCACTCTGTCAAATCTGTCAAACGAAGTTGGCGTAAGAAGAAACCGAAAAACTGTCCTCCTTCTGAGAATGCGGTAAGCAGTAAGCACAAATATCCACTGTTCAAATGCTTATCACTCATTATTTATAGTCACATCACATTGCATTGCATTAAATCACATAACATTACATCACATTACATGGAAATGCCTTGAATACAACTCAAAAACAGTCAGTAAAATAGGCTTGTTGCCACTAGAAAGTCTTTTGAGAGCCAACCTAGCTTACTATATCCCTAACCAGTAACTATGCCGCTAACACTAACCCAAAACCGAACAAAGACCCTGTTCAAAATTGAAGGGGGCAAAATACAATGTCGAGTTGGTGGAAATTGTTGGACAATGTAAAGACAATGTTACCTGACACAGATCTCAAGACGAGTTGAAGAAGTCGAATCTTCCTTAGAAGTACAACTTCCCTAGAAGTACTTAAGTTCTGAGTTATTCAAGAGTTGCGTGTGGGTAAAGAAATCTGGAACCTGGGCCACCCAGTACTATTGTTTCCGAAAACAATTTGGCACCCTGATTTTGCTGCTTAATGTACATTTCCATCACTCTCCTCCCACGAGCTTCAGCAAATGCATACTTGCCCATCTGATTTGACTTGTAAATTACATCGAACTGGCCACATTATCTTGCCGCGTTGTACGTGAAACGAACGAAGTAGCATGGTTTCATAGTATAATCTCGGAGTGGACCTTAAAGCATCACACCTACTTAGGGGTTATTCACATATTATTACGTAATCAATATTTTAGCAATTTGTATCTCCCTCCGTAATCAACCGTAATCAACCGTAATCAACCGTAATCAAGACTCACCCCCAGCAAAATTACGTAATCATGGCCTGACTTTTTTCCCTGGAAAAAAACTTTCCTCTACGTTTCATGCTACCGGTTAATCATTATGAGCTGGATACCCGATCCATTCCTAAATTTTATCACTATCAGAGTGAAATTGAGTGGAATTTGAATTAACGGTAATCAACCGTAATCATTTGGGAACCCTCTCCCCCCTCGGCTGATTACGTAATATGTGAACGACCCCGGCCCTTAAAATTACTTACAGTTAGCTATGATGCAGTTCCCACTTACATTGCCATACTCACTGCGAGGAACAAGTCATGGAATTATGAAGCAGTAGTTTTTATCTCACTACGAAAGTTCGTTGCTATGTCTGCGACTGGCCAATCTATTGTGCAGTGCTGAGTGAATCACATGTAGTTTTATGATCATTCGATCAGCGCAGGAACACTTTTTGGCGTTAAAGTTTCCATGTGATCAGTATAGGCACGCTTCCGCGGAATGTGTAGTTATAGTTTAAGTTGTAGTTATGACATCGGTCTTTGTTCACGTGCAGTCTCGTTAACCTGTTAACTACACGTTGCACCATTGTTGCTAAGTAGTGGTTACCTAGACAACGTTAATAAACTATAAACTAAAACATCTAGTATAGGCCAAGTATTATAATTGTAATTTGTAGATGTCAGATGTTTTCTTGTCTTCGATATTCTCGATGCCTGCGGTTCAGCCGGCTTTAAAGAAAATCTCGACAGCGGTTTTGGGAGGAGTTTCCCCTCTGACAGCACTACCGGAGGTTCTGAAAGTGCAACTCGAAGAATTCAACTCCGAGGTACAAGCTGATTCTTAAATAAGGGTCTATGGTCTAGTAGATTTTAGTATGATATCTTATTAATATTATCATTTCACGATTTCTGTTTTTTAAAACTCACATTTCAAGTCGCATATAA